AGAAAGGAAAAAAAGAAGGATAAGGATATAGCTTAGGAAATTAAGGGTTAGGTAAAAAAGGTAACTCTAGAATAAAATTATGAGTCTAAATCAAAGACATAACCTCTGATGGGGGAAAGAGGGCATGGTCTATGTCAAAGATGAAGCAATTCTATAAAGAAGGTAAGCAGAATGCACAAGGGGGCCTTTAGGATGACTCAGTTTCCCTGACTGTAAAGTGAAGGTCTTGGTATAAGCCTTAAGGGTAAGAAAGTCGAAGTGCACTGTGTTTTGTGGAAGCCCTTCCTTCCACAGATAAGCTGACAGGAGGTGGGAGAATTGCTTATGAGCCACATATAGAATGTGGTGCAGTTGTGGGAGTGATGAGAAATGGCCCAGTAACTGGCAGAATGGAATGTGAATTCTCAGGAATAAGCAGAGAGGAATGTCTTGGTTTATGAGCTTCCTTTGCTTTGGCAGGCAGTTAAGTCTGTGCATCAAAATAAATGTCATTCAGTCCCCAGCAGACACACACATCAGAACAGGCAGTTTGAAAGCTCCAGTGTCAGTTGGGATGTAACCCTTATTGTCACCTGTGCAGCTAAGGAAGTTAAGTGGGGATCTGAAATAAAGTTTCCACTTCTTGTTTCAGAAGCAAGCTATGACTAGGTGGGCAGAAGCATAGCAAAATAATTGTTTATGAGTGAAGTTTAGTGTCACAATTAGGCCAAATGTCCAAATGGTGTCTAAGAACTAACAATTATAGATGGAACCCTCTGTTGAGAATTCCTTTGGGTTTCCATTAAAAAAAATTCCTGCTTTGTAATTTATAAAAGCTCACAAGTAAATTAGTAATATTAGTAATATTCTTGTTTTCAAAAAATCTACCTTGTAGTACAGTATATTAATGTATATTAATATACATTAATCATCTGTTTATTGGGTAACAGGTCACTGTGCTTATTCCTTAAAATTACAGAGATTCAAATTAGAATACTGCTAAAAGAGCAAATCAATTACCTACCATTCTCATTAACTACCTAGGATAAGAGCTCAGATCATTCCGTTGGCACAGGGACCTTATTTGACACTGGTCTCCCTAGACTTTTAGTTGTACACCTGCTTGTTCTCCTGGCTGTCTTACTATCCTTCCTCAGTCTTTATGGGCAACTCTAATTTTCCCCTTACAGAATCCTCAATACTTCTTCTTTTAATGGTAGGGACTGTATTTTATCTCTCTGTTTATGATGCAGCAGTTACTGATTTATAATGGGTGATCAGTAAGTGTTGACCTGAATGATTGTATACTATGAGGACAATCTAGCTGTCTGATATTTGAAAAATGCAAATGTACTTGTCATTCATCATAAATGTATCATTTTGCATAAAGTATCTGATCTTTTAAAAGGGATCAGCTTTACATTTTGGGAGAATAATATTTCTTGAAAGAGATTCCCAGTTGAGGGCCTTTGAGGCTCCTATGTTTTGACTATCATGTCATCTCTGTGACAGGAGCATCTGATAAAAATGCAAATAGCGTCATTAGAAAGGTCCTTGCTATAGGCAAAGTCATGATTCATTTGGATGGGATCATCACATTTTTATTTATTTGTTTTTATTTTTGGATTTTTTTTTTCCCAATGCTGAGAATCAAACCCAGGGAATTTTGCATGCTAGGCAAGGACTCTACCCGTGAGCCACAACCCAAGTTCCTACATTTTAAAACTTTTTCTTAAAATGCAATAATGGAAAATGCTTAGAGTAGTCTCAACCCATTGCCCAAATTGCTATTGGAGTATCAGAATTTTGTCACAAGCTTTTTGTCACCAGTTTGAGCAAGGGGTTTCAGCTTTAATGACATCACAGTATAGACTTTGTGATTGAGATTATAATTTCCTGTAATTGTTTTTCTAAAGAATGACTTTTAAGATTCAGGTTATACAAGTTTAAGTGTACTATAAATTAGTCAAGCCAAAACAAGATAACAATTAAAGAAAAAATCTGTCCAGGAAATCTAGTACTTGGGAACTGTGAAGAACAAAGAAACAAAAAAGAATTAATTGCTTGCAGTGTTTGAACTAAACAGCCCTGTAAAAAATAACCCAATTTAGTTAACATTTGTTTTTCTTCAAGATAGTCTTCCTGGTAAAATAGTTTTTTAAAAAAAGGTGATTTAAAAAAAAATAGATATCTGCTGATTAATTGCTAAGAAAACTTTAGGAAGAAATTATGTCAGTTTACCATGAATTAGGTTGGCCCAAAATTGTGTCAATCACACAGAGATTGTAGTACTCTTTGAAGCCAGATCAATATGTTCAATATTTAGCAGAAAAAAAAAGTAAACGTTCAGTATGGTATTAATACATTTGTCCTGCAATACAAAGAAGGATGAAGACAGATGGATGAAACCAAACCTAATTCAGTATAAAAATAGTCGTGAAAGAAATAAAGGCAAAACAAAACAAAAAAGTAACACACCCGCGATCCCAGCACTTAGGAGGCTGAGGCAGGAAGATTGAAAATTTGAGGCCAGCCTGGGCTAAATAGGAAGACCCTGTCTCCCAAAACAAACAAGAACAAAAAGTAAAACAATTTCTTTGGCTGAAAGAAAATTTGAGTCCATATTTAACATAAGTGATAAATATGAGCTTATCTTACCATCAGATTTTCTTTCATCCAACTTTTAATTGTTGTTGAGGAAAGCAATGATTTGAGCTGATGGCAGTTCTATCCAAATAGAAGTGTATGAAACACAGAGTAAAACCTTTACATCCTCTTAAAGCTGGGAGGTAAGGCTTGCAAGGTGAAAAGAGCAAGAGCTTTGTGGGATAATTAATAACTACCATTTGCATAGTACTCAAGAATTTAGGAAGTACTTTTATGCACCATTTTTGCAAGTTTAAAAATAAATGGCTATATTTTGTTTTTCTGTTGAAAAGACAGCCCTAACTTTAAGAGTGTGATTACTTTTTAGCTTTACTTCAGTTTTTTTCAGCCTTTATTATAAATCCTTTTCCTTATTCTTCCTTTTTTTTTTTTTTTGGTGGTGCTGGGGTTTGAACTCAGGGCTAAGTTCTCTGCAGCTTGAGCCATGCCCTTTGAAACTTCCTATTTTTATGATCCAACTTTGGAACATTATCACAATAATGGCTTCTGAATTTTCTTATTTTAATTTTTAAAATTCTAAAATGTACAATTTATTATGGAGATAATACAGATCCTGGAGTGTCTAGGACAGAAGTGATTGTAAATGTTTTATCACATTGTCAGATCATGTGACTGGACATCTGGATTAGAAAATATGTTCACCTTACCTACTTGACCTCTTATCATTCAGTTGATAAAACTTTAATATTTTATACTCTATTATATGTATGTAATGAAATTATACTTTCAAATGTGTGTTCCCTCCCCTTCTGTTTGTTTTCTTTAACTTCTCTTTTACTCATTGTTATTTCTTCTTTAAATGTCTAGGATTCTAGGATCCCAGGTGTTTGGGTCTCTTCCAATAGGTTATTATTTTTTTTTATTCTCCTTCAATGAATCCTCTTCTGCAGCTCACCAGCCTCACTTTTCCAAATCTTAAAATGTCTACTTTTTTTTGAGACAGGGTCTTCCTATGTTGCCCAGGCTGGCCTCTCTGCTGGGCTCAGTCTACTTTCCTATGGGCTGCTTGAGCCACACTGATTCCTTAAAGGCTACGGAGTATTTTGAGTGCATATCCACCTCCAAAGCTTAGTTCAAGGACTCCTTCAGATTGAATTTCTGCCTTCCTCCTAGCTTTAGTGCAGCTCTCACCTTCTCCTATAGTTTGCTTCGGCCATAGTCATGTGCTTTCCTTTAAATTCTCAAGGATTTGACTTTACCTGATTATTTCTCTACCTGTTTTTTAAGGTTGTGTGTTCACGTCTCATCTTCTAGTTAGAATGCAAAATCACTGAGGGTAAAGGCTATACTTCATCTTTTTTTATTTTCTATATTTTGGCTAGGTAGGGGATAATGAAATTAACAATAAATATTGAAAAAAGGTACATGTTCCATGATTTTAATACCACACATTTAACATCCTGTTTAGGTGTACATATTAAATAGTTTTCCTTTCTCCTTTTTGGCCAATACTTGTCTTACAATTCTTGTTTTAAAATTACCATATCAACCTTTTTAGAAGTAATGAAAGAATTAGAAGGTGGCTACAGGAGACAGTGGGAATGGATGGTTGCAATGCTGCCACTCTGTGCCAGATGACACACTATGTACTGTAAGGATTTCCCTCGACAGATTTAAGAAACTGAACTTTACCCAGGTTAATTTACCCAAAGTCCCACACAAAGTAAGCAATGGCTGTGCTGAGTTTCAGACACCAGGTCGGCCTGGTTCCAAAGGGCAAGGCAATTTTAGTGTTGGATGACCGTGAGAATTAGATGACATAATTTCTTGAAAAAGCACCAGGCACGAGAGTTGACACTCAACAAATGCTGCTTCCATACGCATTTGCCTAGGAATTGGGTCTCTGACTCGAACAAGAGGGGAGGAAAAAAAAAATCTGATTGAATCAACTACATTTGTTTATAATTCGAAAAAGGCCCATGTCAGGCTTGAACTTGCAAACCGAGCGCGCATTTAGGTTTCCCACAGGCTGCTTCTTTGCAGAAAGTAACGCCGCGGAGCCGCCGCCGCGGAAAGTGGGGCAACCCGAGCTCCCTTTGCCTCTCAGCAAAAACCTTTTGCATCCATCTGAGGCCAAAAGCCAGATGAAGCGCCCAACCCAGCTGCCGCGAACCTCCGCGGGGAGGAAGCACCGCAGCTCCCGCGGACGGCTTTCTCATCCGCTCGCGGCACCTGGAGGAGGGCGGCGCTCACCCGGCCGTGACGTCACCGCACCTGGCCTCCGCCGTGGGGGTGGGGGTGGGGGAGTGTGAGGGAACCGAGGCTCGAACTCCGCGCCAGGGGGGCGGGGCCGGGAGGACGAGGCCGTTCTCGCGAGATTTCCCTCGTCCCTGGGCGCCGCTGCCTGCACCATCCCGGTTCAGCCCGGGTCTCCACTTCAGTCTTTGGCTTCGTGTTCTAGGACGCTGAGGGGCGGGCGGTCGCTCGAGGTTGGAGCCGACGGCCCGAGCGACCTAGCGGGTCTTCCAGCCCCTGCAGAAGCCAGGAGGGGTGGGGGAACCCCTGAGGGGGCTGCGCGGGTGGCGGGCAGGGTCGTCCCGCCGCCGTGGCTTCGGCGGAGGCGGGGCGTGCGGAGCCGCAGTCGCCTCGGCCTGGCGGGCGGTGCTGAGGGACCGGCCGGAGGGCGCCGCGGGCGGATGGAGGCGCCTCCTCGGCCCGCCTGAGCTCAGGAGGGGCCGGCGCGGAGCGCGGGGCCCGCCTCCCGCTGCAGGAGCGGCCGCGCGAGCCACCGGAGCGGACGGCGGGCGCCGGGCTTCTCCCCTCCGGAGCCCCCAGCATGGGTAAGATTCGGGGCTCTTCCGCCGCGCGTCCGGGGCCTCCCACCTCGCCCTGCCCCCCCCGATCCCGGTGTCCGCGTATTTGGGGGGCGGCTGGGCTGCAACGCCCCGCTCCACCCTGGCGCCCCCTCCTCGCCCTGCCCTTCCACCTGGCTCGGCTCGCCGAGGGATTGGTCGAGGGGCTCGCGGTGACCCCTCTCCTGCCGTCCCTGTCCCTGGATCCTGCAAAGTGCGGGACGGGGGGGGGGGGCGACCCCACCACCTCTCCGCGCCTACCGCCGTGCAAAGCTCAGCTCCCAGCCCCCTCTGTGGGTTGGGGGAGGGTGATCGCCAAACTTGACGAAAGTAGCACTTTCCATTTTTGCTTTGGGGCTTTGTAGAGATTGGGATTTTAAGGAGGAAAATAGATGCGCGCGCCTGTCTGTGTGCACAGGAATGTGGATTTTTTCCCTGCTAAAACTTGCAAGGAAACCTCGAATCTGTTTCTCTGGTTCCGCTCAGGCAGCGTGTTGTTGGCACTTAGACTCGAATCTCCTCTGAGGACTGGGTTGGGGTTTGGTGGGATTCAGCGTTGAGCATTTTAGGAGCAGTTTCCTGTTTGGAGTCAGACTTCCTTGCGAGCGGGGAGAAAAGTACAAGGCCTTATCCTTTTTTTTTTAGTTTTGTTTGGAGTTACGAGAAGGCACAATGCCTTGCAGCCTGGTTTGAAAAGGAGTTTTGTTGAGTGCTGTAACAATTTTTTTGATAACAAAGATTAGTATGGACTAGGCACAAACTCCCTCAAATCTTAAAAATCTTTAGCAATTTAAAAGAGAAGAGTTTTCCTTTTAAATCAGGTTTGTGCCACCATGAGGCAGAGTATGTTCAGTAAGAGTAAAGTCAAGTTTGGTTTTGTGGAATGAATCAGAAGGACGCTGTCATGTCTTCCATTTGAGAGTTGGTACTGCTTCATATCAACAAACCATTACCGAAATTAATAATTCATGAAGCTAACAAATGACTTAGTAGCACGACCAACACGGAGCACTGCTGATGTGGCACCCTCTGCCCACACTTTGTTTTGCTGGGGATGCGTTGAGCATGGTGTTTATAGACACTCGCCCAGCTATTCTGTTTTCTAATTTTATGTTGCCTTTACCTTCCTCCTGCTTTCCGGTACTTTTTATACGCACAGTGCTCGTGAACTCAGAATAAACTAAAATTTGTTGTTTGGAACTTTCAGATAGTTTTCTTTCCAGTTGATGAGCTTATGTGTAATTGTGGGCTTATTCCTTTAAGCGCCAAAATATAAAGCCACTTTAACCGATTTGGATGAAAATCCTCCTAAAACTAAATATCAATTCCTATCTGTCTTAAATGCAAAGTGTAATTAAACTTATTTTGATGACCTACAGTCATAATTTGTAACTTTCAGTTGCTGTGATGCCTTGGGAATCTCTTGGATTGTGTATAGGACTGTTAATCTAAGTGATGAATAACATTTCTTGCCATTTTGAAGTTATTTAAAGTAAGTACTTTTTTTTCCTGTTTTGCTGTTGGATGTGCTTGTAGCTGTGGTCAGTGTCTACCTTCCCCTTTGCTTTTCTCATTTTTTTTGAACTGTGGAAATCATAATTAAATTTATAATTCTGTATAGGGGAAAAATCAGTTAAGTCCTTATAGTGTGAGGTTCACTTTTGGGAAAAGTAAATGAATACCAGTACTTGGACATTGTAATATTTTGATTGGCTACAGGCCTTTTCTTAATGACTTGTTTTGTTCTGTTTAGGTGAGTTGGCAGATACTCTTGGTAAATTTCATGTTAGCATATTGTCACCTTCACTATTATTTAAGTTGAGTTTTGAAGGTGTCTTACTTGGGATGTTTGTGAAACATTTCCATATGAATGTGTGTTTTAAATTTATTGGTTATGATTAGTCATATTAAAATTCTCAAATTTAAAGGCATTTTCTCTTTAATATCAATCTCATTTGATTGGTTTTGTTATCAGTCACTTTTTCGTTACGATTTAAGATGCAGCGTAAAGTAGTTACATGATCTTTTATCTAATTTGTCACAAAATGAAAAAAATCATTCTTTTTTTTGCTTTGAGATTAATGTGAATACCTATTAAGTGAGGGTTCCTACATTTAGGGTTTAGGCTGCTAGAAAGTTAGAGCAAGGGGTCTGGACAGGGACTTCTTGAGGTCTCACCTATTAGCTATGTGACTGAGCAAGTTAATTAACCTCTCTGTTTACTTTTCTTGATCTATAACGGTCAGTGTCATAGGTTGTTGGGGGATTGAATGGCCTAATATTTGTAAAGTGTTTAGAATTTTCATTTTCAAATGGTTGCCCTAATTTTTGTACCAACTTGGTGGGGAGCAATTTTTGACCTTTGTTAAAAGCAGGATATTGTCTTTCAAGGACCACTGAGCTAAGATGATTTTATACTCATATACAGGTTGAATTCTATATAGTAGAACTTCACAGAAATTATATAGAAAGATTTTTTTTTTTCAATATTGGAGATACTGTGAGAAATTCCATTATTCATTGGGAAGTTTAGTTGCTTACAAAAAACTTTTAGGTGGAATGATACTTGAATGCTAGTAAAGACTTACTTGAATTTTAATTTTTTTTTGCAGTACAGGGGTTTGAACTCAGGGCTTTTGGTTTGTGAGACTACTTGAACCACATATCTTGAGCCCCGACTTACTTGAATTTTATGCTGGTGTTGTCAGTTTCAGCACTTGTTAAATGGTGGAATTTCTTCCTATCAAGAAATTCAAGGCACTTGTGTGGAGGAATTGGGAAGAGCTTTAGGGAGATGAAAAGCAATACGTATTTTTTCTTATTCGAAAAATACAGATCTGCATTTTGGTTGAAACAAGAAAGCAAATGGTGCAAAGTGTTACTGTATGTGAATTTTTGCTTTTGAAAGAGAACAGATACTAAGGACTGGATTTCTCTATTTTAGATAAGGTTATGAATTTTTTATTTTAAAATTTGTTTTAAAAGGTTGCATATATAACATGTCAGTCTCAAAGCTCTTTTAATAGACAGAAATTTGCGTTTGATTAGATGATAAATGTACTTTTTGCGATTTCTTTATTTTTCCCTGTGTACTGTTTGGAGAAAATCGTGATTCATACAGATACCTAGTTGTAAGTAGGAACTCTCTGTTAATGGCTCACCTGTTAGTCTCCATGATTCGGAGTATGAAAAAGAAACATTTTGTTTCAAAGTTGGATCACTGCAAACTAATAATTTTATTGCTTAATTAGAGTAAGTGGTCATGATCAGATTTTTAGAAGTGTTTTGAACTTTGAATTTTTTAATTCTATAAAATCATGTTAAGGGTAAAAAGTCACACTTGCAATATTTTATATTTTCCTGTAGAAAATATAAGCCTTAAGTTTGCCATGTACCTTTCCATGAGGGATTAGTAAAATGTCACAATCATTTAATACGATTTAATTTTTTTATTTTTGCGGTACTGGGACTTGAACTCAGGGCCTTTACCCTAAGCCACTCTACCAGCCCTGTTTTTGTGAAGGGTTTTTTGAGATAGGGTCTCCTGGAACTATGCCTGGCTGGGCTGGCTTCAAACCGCAATTCTCCTGATCTCTGCCTCCTGAGTAGCTAGAATTACAGGCATAAGCCACTGGCGCCCAGCTAATACCGAATTTTTAAGATAAAATTACAGAATATGAAGTCTTTGCTTCATGGTGTATTGTCAGTAAAAATACTTCCTCTTCCAATTTTTATTTACACTTAATCTAAATCTGTGATTCCCCCTTCCTGTCTAATGAGTATCTTCTCCTCTTGTTCAATTTATTTTGCATATGATAAAATGTTTTAATTTTCTGATCTATGTAAAGACGAGGTGTTGTACCTGGGCAGTGTGGCTCAAGCCTGTAATTCTAGCTACTCAGGAGGTAGAGATTAGGAAGATTGTGGTTTGAGGCCAGCAGGGAGGAGGTGCGAGGATGGTTTGTGAGAGCTGACAGAGTGACTCAAGTGGTAGGGCACCTGCCTAGAAAGTGTGAGACACTTAGGTTAAAACTCCAGTACTACACACAAATAAAAAAGTTCCCGAAACCACCATCTCAGCCAGTGACTGGGTATAGTGGTGTCCATTGTCATTCCAGCTACCAGCTCCACAGGGAGGCATAAATAGCAGGATTGTGGTATAGGCCAGCTAGGGCATAAAGTGAGACTCTATCTCAAAAATAGCCAATGCAGCCGGGCACAGGTGGCTCATGCCTGTAATCCAAGCTACCTGGGAGGCTGAAATTGGAGGATTGAGGTTCGAGGGGAGCCCAGACAAACAGTTCTCAAGACCCTATCTCCAAAATAGATTGGAGGTGTGGCTTAAGTGGAAAACAAAAAATGCAAAAAGTGCTGGTGGAGTGACTCAAGTGGTAGAGTGTTTGTGTAGCAAGTGTAAGACCAGTACTGTCAGGGAGTGAAGATAAAGAGATGTTAATTGTTCTTTATTTCCGTGAGCATAGGGCAGGGTGCAGACGTGTTTCCCAGGTAAACTGGTGAGGCAAGTAGTAAAACATCTGAAGGTTTTCAGAGATTGCATTCAGAAAAGAAAGCCTGAGTGAAACCTAATACTGGCTAATCATTACCATGTAGCTGTGACTTGCTTGGTTGTAGGAAACAATATCAGCAGTAAGTACTTCTAGATGAGGAGGGAAACAGAACACTAATTTGGGAAATCTAGATGGAGGTTCACACATGTCTGCAGTCAGCATGTCAGAATTAGGGATATGTCTAGCAAGTGCCGTTTGTGGATTGATAGGTGGAACGGTGAGGTTGGTATGGAGTGAGATGGTAGTTGGTAGTAGGTATTAGGTGGAGGTTCAGATTGGCATCCTGGAGTAAAAGAGAGGAAATGGAGTCTGGCTGTAGGCCTCAAAGACCTAGCCACAGGGAAATGAAACCAGACAGGGTCCAGATTTTTTATAAGTGAGATAAGGTAGGTAGTTGTTCTCAGGAACATGAACTTGGCT